TTTGACACTTTAGTCGCACAACCTTCGTAACACTGGACTGCATAACCAAAAAAGTTGCAGTTTTCCGGCGGGATTACAAAATTTATTATATTTGTAGACTTCCCAAAGTGTAAATCTTAATATTTTTTTTATTATTTTAATGCAAGTCTTAAAATATAATAGATTTTATAATTCCAATGCAAAAACAGCACCGATTTTTGGGTACAGATGGCAGCCAGATTTCTTCTCCATCACCATCTTCTTTAACTGTAAAAATACTAGGACTGTTTTATTTTGCTTGCGTAGCTTGCGCATATTCAACAGTTTTTTGCCTCTCCTGAACATTTAGGATTTTTTGAGTTGTCACTGTTTGGGATTCAGGGAGAGATATACGTAAAATTTGCATAGCAACATCGTATTTCTGTATTTCATACCTTTCAGAGTTCTTTGCTTTTTAAACTTGTCCACGTTTGAGATTTACAATTGGTTCTGTTGTCCGTAAGACCCTTGAAGCTGGGTATACACTTCAACCCTAATTGCTTATACATATCGCCGTTTAAAGTACAAAACCGCGTATCAACAAAATGCAAAACCGCTATGTGAGGTTGCATAAATTATTTTCTAGAGAGTAAAAACACTGATATTTCAAAATGGTTCCTTTTTTATAAAGCAATCATATTTCTGATATTTCAGGACGAATGGATAAGGATTCAGCCCTGAGCTTGTGTGAGCAAATCCAATTTTTGGCAGACAAATGTCATTCAGCGGTTTTGAAGAATTACGATACTCAGTTTTGTACTTTAAACGACGCCATATGTACATACATATTTACATGCATACATCTGTGCAAGTGATTGACAATTTTAAAATTTCGCGCGAGACTAAAACTTCGCTGCGAAATATCTGAAAGCGAGCTAATAGAAAATTGTAAAACAACGAATTTTTCGTAAAATTCCTAATAAAAGACTTTGCATTAATAAAGAAAAAAGTAAATTTTCAAACATTTCGCTACTTACGATTTCTAATCCTTTTTTCAATATGCCATATAGTGGCACCCAAACTTTGGTTTGAGTGAATGCACTCTTATAGCCCTGGAGAATTTCAATTAATTCCATAAACACGTTTGCGACTATGGAATTCTTTTGGTGGTCCATCGCGATATAATAGTAACGTAGGATTTGTTAAAATGACCAGCAAACGCACAAGCGCATCTGCATATTCATTATTTTGTACATAATCATGCAGCATATGCACCAAATCTGTTTGTAGCACTTTTGCATGGCCCAAGTGACGGCGATATTCGTGATTTTCTAAATCGCGTCGCAAAATCCAAATTAAATGCTGTAGTCAAATATGAAAAAGAAATAGTGACAAAACGAATAATAGTAAGTTATGTATGTACATATGTATAAGCAAAACATACCCTTAGGCCCTGCAGTGCGTCCGGCTCGGCCAGGTAGCGATCGTTGTCGTGGTAGCCAAGCGCCGCGCAAGTGGCATCGATATCCGCAAGTAAAATCAGACATTACTGTACAAACGAACGGTCGAATTTTCACTTTCTTTACACAAAATAGAATTTTGTTTAAATGAATTAACAATTTTTCCTACACCGCAAAACCGTCCGTATCAAACACACAAATTTCACAATTGTTTTGGTTGATGTAAACAAAATTAAATCCGCACATGAACTGTCATATGGGCGCGCCAATTTTGCGATCTGAGCGAACAGCTGATGGTGCTGAGCTGCCACTTGTTGAATGTGTGGTATTTACTTGTGTTGAGGAATTTCAGATGGCTTAAGTGAACGACGCACATTTTGTAATCGAATTTTACCAAAGGTCAGATAATACGGGACAACTCATTATAATTAGTAGCGAAAGTGCGCAACGGGGGAATTAATCTATCTAATCATGATTCATATAATGAAAAATTTTATAAGAAAAACTTTCTCTCACTCTAATTTTATCAATGACACTCCCCCTACTCCTAAAAAGAATAACAGTAATTTTTTTTTCGAATTTCTTTGCAACTTTTAAGCGAAGCGCACATTGGCGCGATTCTGTCGTTGCGAAGCCGCAAGCCCAAAAATTACAACAATGCTACCCATACATTTTAATGCGCTAGCGCACACTTGCACGATTCCGTCGCTGCGAATTTTTCGAACATTCAATGTTCCTTTCTATTGACGCGTTCGAAACGCGGCTTGCAGCGTTTTGAAGGCGTCAAAGAAGAAGAAGAAAGGTGTCACAGCAATAAAGGCAAAGAAAAAAAAACATGTACAAAAACTAATAAAAACGTTCGTAATAATAGTATTTTGTACGATTTGGGCACGCCGAGTGCGAAAATACACGAAATAAAGGGAAAATTGAGTGAATTGTACATCGGAAATCGACGCGAAAAAATCGCTCAAGTG